CCCCCTCCTCCCGGCACGTGCCCTCTCTCTGTCTCCCTTCGTTTTTTTTTTCTTTTCTTTTTTCCGTTTACACCTGACATTTCTCACTCCTGCCTCCGCCTTCGCTCCCCCTCCACGGCCGCAGCGTTGCTGCGGCGTGTCCACTTGTTCTGGGTAATGAGCAAATCCTGGTCTATGAAAGGAACAAGGCTGGACGCAGCAGCCAGCCAAGGAGACACCAGGCTCCAAATTTGGAGAGAGGTCTTTAAGCCCTGCAAGCAGTGCAAGGAGTTTTTCCCAGCGAAGGCTAGAGAGCACCAGATGAGTCCTTTGGGACATCTGTTAAAACCGGAACGACACAGAGAAGATTAGCATGGCCCCTGCAAAAGGATGACACGCATAAATCGAGAATTTGAGATTAAAGAAGTAGATGGATAGGTTAGAAACTATTCAGCAAGTATAAAAAGATAGGGTTTAGGATTTAAGAGTGAAGCTTCAGTTTTCGGGTCCTCTTCGGGTCCTGTCAAAAGCATAACACTGGGTAATGCTCCCAGACCCGGCCTTTATGTGGGGTGGCCGGCCCCTCCTTTCCAATTAACTAGTGAAAAAAAAAAATGAAATTGGAAAAAATAAGAAAAAAAAGGAAAAAGAAAAAGAAAAAGAAAAAGAAAAAAGAAAGCACCAGATGAAGGAAGAGGTCATCAGGCAACCTCGTTTCTGTAATCCCTCGCTAGTGGGAATGGACGGAAACCCTCGGAGTTTGACAGTGAGAGACACCAGATGCGGTTCTTAGGTGGAAAGGGGAGTCTGGCAGATCAGACATATCTGGAATCAAGTTGACAGAGATCGGAAGTTGGCTTGGGTTCTCAGAAGCAGTCTGAAATGATGGCACAACCTCCACAGGAAAGTAGAGGAAGTTATCGTGTCGATGCCACGGGAATTGATGGCGCTCCTAAAGAGGGACATAGACTGCACACTAAGGGATTGGGAAGTATCCGGCCAATCAAGGGGTCCTATCTCTAGCATTGGCCTTCTGGAGCACTGAGGACGAAAGAGATGACAATTCATGCCTATCACATCAGACTTACTGTACTGATGAATAGATGCGATCTCTCCTTTGCAACATGCTGAGTGTTTCAGAGGCAGGTTTCACTCAAGGTTCGAGGACAATCCTTCGCTCCCATGTTCACATCCAGCAGGGGCATGACCGAGGTCCGTCCATAAGTTTGTCAGGAAACCCAGTGAAGTTTAGGCCGCCCATAAGCTTTTCTCAGGGTCTTGAAATTTTAGCATTCTGTCGGCTGTGTTTCAAACAGAAACCTCATTTTCATTTTCATTTTCATTTTCTTTTGCCTAAAAGAAATGCTGGAGAGGATGTTTTGACAATCTATTTCATTCGTCTTTGCTGACCTTTCTCCAGGCATACAAAGAGCATGCAGATTCACAAATGGCAGCAGAGTGCTTCCGGAAAGTACTGAAGATTGACAACAGGTGATTGTTGATGCAATGTGCCTACAAACTGCTTATGAGTTTTACTGAATCTATTATTGCATATATGTCTTTGCCTGTATGACAATTCAAATTATGCCATTATTCCCTCCTTTTTATGTCACTCATGCACATTCTTTTCTTTTTTTTCCCCCTACCGTATGGGCCCAGCTCCGTATCCATTTTGGGGAGCATCAATCCGGTTCCTATTCCACCAGCAAGTCAGAAGAATGCATGTGCAAGGAAAATGAGCGATAGCGAACTCCAGAAACCAAGCAGCATCATACACATGAATCCAGATAGTCGTGATCTCGAACCAAAAGCAGAATTGCAACACGAGTTCCACCAAATAAGAGCACAGCAAAAGCTCATAAGTGATAATGTTGGAATAGTCTCATCATCATCAACAAATAACCAATGTCGACATCCTATCTGGCGCTCTGCGCCCAGACTACAAATGGCAGATCCTATCTAGCCTATCTACAATGCTGCTGGTGACGTCAACAGCTCCCCGAAGTACGAGCAGATCTTGGTCAATGCCGTTCGCCTCAAGCACCAGGTATGTCTTTCGTATCACTCACAACCTTGATCCCCCACTCACAGATGCCACATGCACCCAAGGACCACCATGCACGCCATCCAGCTCAGCGCAGCGCAGCTCGGCTATGGCTGCCTGCTCTCCCTGCTAGCCCGTGAGCACATGGGCCTGGCCAGCGATTAGCGCAGTATGCAGCCAGTGCCCGAATGCCAAATGCGAGGGCAGGCACTTTCCTAAATGGAAGTGGCCTGCCTGCTGCGTGTGGCCTGGCTGCGCTGGGCCCTTGTCCAGAAGCTTCTGGTAGTCCCCGAGAGGCTGAGCCCGGGTCCAAACAAATCAGGCCCAGGGCCTGTGACGGTTGCCTGTGCCCAACTGCCCGCAGCCTGTGTTCGGCCCATGTTGTGTATCTGGCCCAGGGCCTGCCTCGGTTACGTATGAGAAAGGCAGCAGGGCCTGGGTGCTCTCAACCAACTGGCGCTGCGCAACTGCCTGAATTTCCCCAGTTGCGTGGTAGCCGAAAAATATGCCTCCTGGCCTTGGTCGGGCCTGCCTTCACTTAGGGCGGCCGACAGTGCTAATTACAGGGTCGAAAGGGGCTCATCGGGCCCTTATGCCTCGCACATGAAGTAGCTATTCAAACACTTCCCCACGTTACAGTGTGGGGAACCCTGACAGCAATAATTGTTGTTGGTTGTGGTGCTACGTGTCCTGTTTTAGATGGGGTTCTTTCGGTATGATGAAGTACATATGTTGAGGTAATCAAAGCCCTTCATTGTGAAATCAAGTTACAATACTGGTTACTTTGGTCATGCTGTTGCACTGCGTATTGAGTTGACGTTTTTCTTCTGGGGAGGGCCGTGGGATGGACAAATCATGTGGCTCAGTGATTGTCATAGGGCTGTTTTGTAGAGTTCTGTCAAGCTGTTTTCTTCTGTGTTGTAGCGTGAGCTTGCAAGATATTCATGAAGAGGACATTCAGAGGGGAGTTACATAGGCCTTTTCAGTCTCCCTGTGATCTTTTCTTCCTCCGTCCTGCATTCTTGCGTTGTGTACTGACCAGACTCCAGCTCTTGTGTGAGCAGAAGGGTGAACACTGAGAAAGGTCCTGCATGTGTGATTGCTCCTCGTCAGGGCCCACTTTGTCAGGGCCCTTCCCATACATTGCCTGTTCTTCCCCCAATTATCACCACCGTCTTCCCCCGAATTTAACGTACGGTCATTATAGCCGTATTTGGTTCACCTTTCTGTCCAGATATGAGGGGTAGATTGCCTCTCTTACATCACGAGCTAAGCTCACAACCTCAGAGAGAGACGGTGTTTTGAACATGTAAGATAGGGTTAGAGTACTTATCTGTCTTGAGACTGGAACCGGAGACAACTCATTGACTGTAATAATCGATGACAGGATCCGAAGCCGGTCAAACCTCGGTCGATGCTGAAGAAGTACTTACCAAATCACAATACCATCTAATATTGTACAAGGAGGGCCATCTTAGACATGGCAATCACCAAAAAGTAGCTCTCATCGCTTACCACCTTCTTCCTCATCTCACTGACCATAGCGCCAATCAAGAACCTCTCCAATACCAAATTGCAAGGATACCGTGGAGATGGACCTCAAATCACAAGCATGTTTTGTTCCCATAGAGCAGCGCTGTAACGGGAGTGAGGCTGAGGGTGAGCCGAGGGAGAGGAGAGAGAGAGGGAGAGAGTGAGAGCACACACACACACTCACTCACTCGACACGACGGACTCGGACTGAGGGTTGGACGCAGACACAGTGGCAAGGCACAAAGTCGAAGTCTTGGATTCCCAATGCCGAAACGGCAAGTCACACTGAGTACAAGTACAGCAGCAGAGAACTGGTACGAGACTGGTCCCCGTACCGTACGGGGAGCCGGTATAAGTACCGGTGACACGTACGGTACCAGGGGCATTTCTG